GCCAGACGTTTCTGCGCAGTGACGTCATAGCCAGAGAAGATGGCGGCTGTGCTGAAGGCGGAAGGTAAAGGAGCTTTAAACAGATTGTTTTACCTCCGAACTCTGTGCTGCTCTCGACTGTCTGCTCTCGTCTAGCTCGCTCTGTTTTATACGGTATATCTGGAAAGGAGCCACCGCTGGCTGGCTCGGTGTAGCGTGCTGTGACCGGCAGGTGAAGCCCTGCAGCTGGGCTCCGGGACTGCTTTAATCACCGCGGAGGCGAGCCTGTTACCAGCAGCTAGCCGAGCTCCGCCGGTGGAGTTAGACGGCTAGCAGAGCAGCTAACACCCAAACATCCGCACTCGCATCTGAGTTCCCCTCCGAGTGTAGATCATGAGGGCTTGAATAAATGCAGCGCTGCGTTAAAACCTGTTGTTGTCTGGGTAACTGTGCTAATTGTTAACGCAAAGGCGTGAAACGTTAGCTTTGACCAGCCAGCTGCAGCTGAGCTCCCGCGGGCGGGGTGCTGTGCTCTGCGAGGCGGCCATAGCACCCATGAGAATCCGGGGTCTGAGCCCGGCCTGTGGAGACCGAGCCTGTGTGGGAGGAGGATGGATCCTCTACACAAGAGGCTCAGCGTCATCTGTTATCTGTGAACCTGCCTCAGTGAGCGTCTTGATGATTAGAACTAAATCGGATATCGATCAAGTGACAGCTGGCATGTTTTCTGTGTGTGTGTGTGTGTGTGTGTGTGTGTGAGTGACAGCAGGTGATGTTTGGGTTTTATTCACGAATTAATCAAAGAAGTGATTCTGTGGGTTAATCATCACACACTCACACCGTGAAGCTGTTGTTATGTAACTAAACACACACAAACACACTCCTATCCCAACACACACCCACTTTACACGCTCTCCATGTAAAGTGGGTGCAAATTCAGCTGTTGCTAGGCAACAGGGAGCTATTGAAGAAGTGCGTGGCTGTCTGTGTGTTTGTGTGGAGCTGGTCAGTTGAGATATCAGATGTGTGTGTTTGCAGCTCTTGTTTGTCATTGATCACACTGATGACCTGTTCTGTGTGTGTGTAGCGGGGCAGTGCAGGCCGCCTTGCCTTGTGTGAGACTCATCCTGCATGGACTCGTCACCATGAGCAACAAGGAGATGGTTTCCCCGGAGACAGGTCAGTCCCATCCACCTGCACACAGACAGTGACTGCATGGTGTCGCATTTGTGTGTCCATCAGATCAATGAGTTCTTCTTTAACGGATTTCTGATTTCCTGCCAGGCCTCACGAGCTGCTGTGTTTGGTGCTGTGTGTCTTACTGTAGGTGTAGCTGGTTGTGTCTTTCATTGTGAGTCAGAGGATCAATATGTCACTTCTTCTTGCAGTTGAAGTGTTTTAGCTCTTTCTGTCTTCTCATGTATTTGTTTGTGACTGTTTGTCCAGCTGGACCGCCTCTTAAACTTCGCTGTCCTTCTTTTATTATTTATGCTGTTTCTTTGTTATTGTGTCTGTTTTCGCTTTGATATTTGTTGTTATTTATCTTTTTTTATATATAAAACTATTAAATAAATGGAAGATTACATGTGTTTATTCTTATTTATTTAACTGGTTTTGTATTATTAGGGTTTTTGGTTCTATCTCAGGTATATTACTACTGAACTGTATATTTTAATATTACTGGACCTAGTTTTATTTCAAATAAACAGAATTTTATTTTATTACTGATATTTTATTACTATTATTGTTAGTAGTAGTTATAAATTATGCTATATTATTTTTACTTCTACCCCTTTCCTTCAAATCTGTTCTAAAAAGGTTTATTTTTATTGAAGTGAAAAAATGAAAAAATAATTATAAAAAACAAATATTTCAAATTTAACATTTTTTATTTACTGATTTAACATTTTTTATTTATTATTATTAATATAAGTTGGATATTTTTTTAAGCTTGTTGTCCACATTAGCTCTTTAGATATTGTTTAAATTTCATTTTCGTGTTGTATTACTTTCATTTTGTTTTTATTTAGTTTACTTGATCATTTTAACTTTATGTAAAAAAAATTGTTAAAAAAATTAAATCATGATTAAACAAAATCATTTCATAGCGTTTATTCATGTTTTAATTCATGTTAAAAATTTTAGATATTATACAATTTGTAATAATTATTATTATTATATGTATATTAATATGTAGTTTTTTAAATAATAATAACAAACTCTTCAGAGCAACAGCTAGATGTTTGTTTTGGGTTTTTTCAACTAGCTGAAAGAAAAAACGTCATTAGTCGGTTAAAAGATTTATTTTTGTTTAATTAATGTTTGTGTTGCTAGTGTTAGCAACACTAACACTAACGGTGTTAGTGTTGCTATGACGATGTAATGGCGCCCCCTGTGACCTTTGCTCTCTGATGGAAAGCTGTAAATAAGGGAGGTGGACAGTAAGAAGCCGTTTTGTTGGTGTTCTGTGGTTTTCTGCTCTGTTCGCGTGTGAAATGACTCAGTGAAAGGCTGATCGCAGGTCCTGTACTACAGGACGGTATGAAAACAAGAGTGCAGACATATTAATCTGATGAAATCAAAGGATGAACCTGCTGGAGGGCAGATGTTAGGAAGCTCCTCTGAGGGAACATTAGAGACGCTTTGGTTGCCGAGGCGTCTGCAGCTGTTTAATTTTACCTGTTTTAAGTCTTTACCAAAGTCTGACTGCAGCTCACAGCGTTACGTCGTGTAGGATTTCATCGTGTGTAATCTGTTTCAGCTACCAGTGACATGGAGATGCTTCGGTCAGATAACGCCCTGCAGACTCACTGTGGTCTGATGATGTTTGCTGCTGTGGAGCTCTGCTGTGTCAGCTGTGTCTCAGTAAACCAAACAGAAGAAGTCAGTGCTGCTCTGACTCGGTGACCTCATCCACTAAACTCTGTTTCAGTGTTTCTGAATGCTTTCCTACTTTTAGACTCACTGACAGTCTGACATTTCCTCTCGATGAAATCATTAGTGAATGAGCTCCTGGGTGCTTCGGTAACATATCGCGGAACAAGTGTCCCAGTTTCCTGCAGTACATCAGAGTTATAGTGGGTCCCCGTGTATCTTTACTGGTGGAGGAGGGGTGGGGTTTGTGAGATCTTCAAGCTCGGCTCCTCTGTTAGAGACCTGAGAGTTTGAGGGTCAAGATTAGCAAAATAATAAAGTACAAAAGAAAAAGAAAGAAAGATGGAGGCAGGCTGGAAAACCGGTTAAGTCTCTAATTGAACTTGTTTATATTGTAAAGCCAGTGATGGTGCATGAAGCCCCTGACAGGACATTTTCATACCTTTAACTCGTTGAACTTTGGCACGCAGTCATCCACACGGATCCCCGCGCCCAGCTACACCTGAGTTCGGCGGCTTTTTGCTGCTCGCTGTGGTCAAACTGAGGTTGCACACGTTGCCAACTCAGACGCGTCTATTTTTAGTCTCAGTTGTGAGTGAAACGCTGGCTCTGCCCAGCTGCGATTGGTGGAACGTGTCCACGGTCTGACACTTTGTTTTTCTGTTCATCAGTCCTGGGTCATTTTGTCCTTCATGTCATATCCTGTAAAAACCTCTAAAAAAGTGTTTGTTTGTTTTTACCTAAAAATGTGACTGTTTTCCGCCCTCTTTGCTGAGATCCTGAGATATTCAGAGATTAATGTTCAGGATTCGGGCCTTTAATCGGTGCTTCTTCCACATCGCATCATCTACCTCCACCTCTTCCTATCCCAGCATACTCCTCTGTTACACCAACCCTCTGCATGTCCTCCTTCATCCTTGAACCTCCTCTGAGCTATTCCTCTGTTCCTCCTGCCTGGCAGCTCCACCTTCATCCTCCACCCTCCCTCCTCTGCACATGCTCAGACCTTCTCAGCCTCTCTGACTGAGCTGTCCCTGTGATGGACTCATTTCTAATCGTGTCCTCTCTCACTGAGGGTGATGATGATGAGAATTTGAGGTGTTTGTCCGCATCAGAACCAGCAGAGCCACTAACTGTGTGTGTGTGTGTGTGTGTGTGTGTGTGTGTGTGTGTGTGTGTGCGCAGAGAACAAAGGACAGAGGAAGGTGTTTCTTCCCAACAAGCTGCTCGAGTGCCTCCCTCGCTCGTCCAGCCTGCCTAATGAGCGGCTCAGGTGGAACACTAACGAGGTGAGTTCTCGTGTGATCCTCGTTTCCTGTTTGACGCAACCGGTGGAGGCAGGAAGTGACATCACACGGAGGATATTATCATTATCACTGTTTAAAACAACACACAACAGACCGAGGTAGGATCAGAGAAGCAGGTCAAGAATGAAAGCAGAATTTCAAACTTTAAAGGTAAGCTGTTCTATTACCCACGCTCGTGTCCTCCATCACTGCTGTTATCATCACTTTTAAGTGAGGACTTTCGGGGCAGGCTCAGAGGTGCGATCCCTTTAAAACTGGTGTTTACTTGCGACTTTCCCCGCAACCCTCCCTGCCCCAGAAAGACAGTCAGAGAGCCCTTGGGCCTCCACCCACTGTGAGCGTAGGTGACTGCATCAGGTCGGACATGCACGTGAATACAATGGTAACAATAGCAGAGGGGCCGTTCTTTAAATGTGAGGCAGAAACCGTCAGTTTGAGGAACTAAAACCTGCACAGGCCTCGCTGCTCTGAGTGTTTCTGCTCTGATAATCGAGCTGCTCTGATAAATATGAAACAGAAACTCAAGAAGTCCCGTCATTTATTCAGTCTGCACACGCCACACTGTCTAAACCTGATGAGCCTGTTACAGTTGACAGTTCCCGCCGTCACCATCTGTGGGGTTTTCTGACTTTGAAAGGAAGATTTGGCAGTTCCAGCGTCGCAGATGTGGCTGATTGTTTTATTTTACATAATTATAACTCGGATATTCTGGTCGTTCTAACTAACAACTAACTGCTGCTCAGTCCGATGTTTTACTGGGACATTGAAAGCCTCCTGAAGTTTTCGGGGTCACGAAACGATATGACAGAAAACGTTTTCTTTAGCGTCAGCAGAAAACGTTTCATCCTGTATGTCGACTGTAACGCTGTTTTTACGAGCAGTTCACTCTGAGCTCTACGTGTGATTTTAAATCATGTAAATCGTCTTTGTTTCTGCAGGAAATCGCTTCCTACCTGATATCCTTCGACAGACATGACGAGTGGCTCTCCTGCACCCTCAAAACCAGGTACAGACCCAGAGCACACCTGTCATACACAAACAGCTCAGGGCCTCTCTCCTGTTGGATTTTATTGATTGATTGATCGGTTTGTGTGTCAGGCCGAAGAACGGCAGCATCATCCTGTACAACAGGAAGAAGGTGAAGTACAGAAAGGACGGATACTGCTGGAAGAAAAGGAAGGATGGAAAGACGACAAGAGAAGACCACATGAAGCTGAAGGTCCAGGGCATGGAGGTCTGCAGCACGTGCACACACACACCTGAGCACAGCTGCTCCCCCTGCAGGACGCACAGTGTCACAGCACAGCAGAAGGAATACTGTTTGTGAGATTATTGTGGGAGGAAATAAGATGCATTTGCTGCCCTGAACATTATCTCTATGAATAAAGACGAAGCTCGTGTCCACATCCTGTTTTAGATCAGTCAGTTAGTCCAGGCTGCAGCAGCGACACAGCGTCTGCTCTTATTTTGAAAGGATCGTGCTGTTCTATTAGCGAGTGTTGAGGCTGATCCCTGCTCAACTGTGCTGGTCTCTGGGTTTCAGTGCCTGTATGGTTGCTACGTCCATTCCTCCATCGTGCCAACATTCCACAGACGATGCTACTGGCTGCTGCAGGTCAGAATAAACACCCCGTCACACACACATTAACACACACCACGCTGCCACTGGTTTGCAGCCAGTTTTCCAAGTGGTGTTGATTCAGCGCTTACAAGGAACCATATAGAAAGAAGTTGTCCTCAGCTTGTTTACAGGTTCCTTTTATTTACTGCAGTGTGTGAGCGACTGCAGGCTTAAACATCATTAAGATTAAACAACACTGAGATTAAATGTTGGTGTTTCCACTGACAAAGTTCAGAGCTCGAGTTTACTCCTGAAGTATGATGCTGAGTTCCCTAGTTTATTGATAGATGCAGTTTATTCTTCGAGTTTAGTTCCCAAATTTGTTTACTGTTTTTAATTTAAAAGTAAAGTTTAGGATTTAGTCTCAGACTGGTTCACCAGTTATGGTACTGAGTTTAGCTCAGAGTTTAGTTCCATGTTTTTCCATCGTTTTCAAATTTTAGTCTCTCCTGGGGTTTAGTTCCTTACTCAGAGTTTAGTTCCCAATCTTGTCATTTAGTTACAAAGTTTAATCTAGTATTAGTTCCAACCTGTTACCCAACTTGTTTAGTTCCAAATTTAGTTGTAAAATTTAGTTCCCAGTGATTTAGTTCTTACCTTAAGACCATGGTTTGTAGTTCCCAAACTGAACTTTTGGTTCCCAAGTGGTTACAGCTTGTTTTCCAGTTAGTTAGAAAGTTTAGTTCCCAAACTACACCTTTAGTTCCAGCGTTAAGTCCCAGACTTATTTCCATGTTTCATGTCTAAGTTTAGTTACCTGGGATTTGGCTCTTGACTTCAGACCAGAGTTTAGTTCCCGAGTTTAGTTGCTGTATTTAGTTCCTGGTGTTAGTTTCCAAGTTTATTTACCAGTGTTTGATCCTAGATTTATTATTTGTTTTGTTATTTGTTACTTGAATTCCTGAGTTTAGTCCCTAGTTTAGTTACGAGGCTGCAGGTAAGCACGAGCAGAGTGTGAGGGTCCCTAAAACTGCGTATCAGAACTAAGACATCAACTGCAGGCTATAGCAAGTGTACGCACTTGCAGTCTCAGTTAGCAGTACTTTCCCATGCAGACACATGCACATACATGCAGACACAAAATAATAGAAAAAGTAAACCTAAAATAGTATTAATCAGTGTGTTTCTGTGCGACAGAACCCAGACATCGTGCTGGTCCACTACCTGAACGTGCCATCCCTGGAGGATTCTGGGAAATGCAGTCCACTGCTTTGCGCGGTAGCCGACCGCCATGACAGCGTACGCTGGAGCCGAGACGACCTGCTGAGCCAGCTGAGGCCCATGTGTATGCACGAACACCTAACTGCATGTGTTTGCCACGTTGTGTGGATGCAGAGTGTGTGTGTTTTGTAGTACTAATGTGTAGTTTTACTGCGTTTCAGTCCACAGTATGAAGTGTTCAGTTGGTGCGGGAGATTTCAGTATTGAGGAGTTGGTTCAGCAAATCCTGGACCGACAAAGAACCAAACCACAGCCGCGCACACACACCTGCCTGTGTAACACTGCCCAGGGTGAGCCCTGAACACCTTGACTGTGACATCGCCATGACATCACAGAGTGAAACTAACCACCCGGCCCTGTTTATCTCTGAGCACAGTATCATCCGGAGTGAACATTCCCCACCGATGTAACAGCACCAAGCATCGCATCATCTCCCCGAAACTCCCACCCTCTTCCTGTAGGCCATCCGCCTCGCCGGTGTCCTCTGAGCTGGGGGAGGTGGGGAGAGGAGGAGCGGGAGGAGAAGCCAAACTGCCTCACCTTCAGGCTCAGACCAGCCCGGCCTCATCTCCCTGCCCCTCGTCCACGTAAGTCATCCGCACAGGAAAACGAAAAGTTATCAGTCGAACTGTGAACGTTCCTGCTCGAGTCCTTTTGGTTTGGTGGTTCGTTTTAAGCGAGATAGCCCAAAGAAAGCAAAGAAAAAGCCATAAAGCACTTCAATTAAAATCGTTTAAACAGTCATTGGCTTTGTTGGAGCATCTGTAATTCTCGTTATTGTCCTTTTGAACTGTTTGATCCCGAGAGAAAAGCGTTTTATTTTAAAGCAGCCCTGCCTCAGATTCACACTGACTCTGCAGAGAACACATATGGACTCACTGATTGTGAAATTCATGAACAATTTGTGGCAGAAAGTTGTCAGAGGGTATTGATCATGATCATTGATCATGAGCTCGTTTCCTGATTGATCGATTAGTCCTGTTTGTTTCCCACAGCTCCTCCTCCTCCCCGCCTCAATCCCACCGAGCTGCTGTCACCATGAGTAACAACGGTAACGGTTTCTACGGAGACCGCCATGGCAACCTCACGACGGTGGCACTGCCACAGAATGCAGTCATTGTCATGGCGACTGCTGCCATAACAGGAGAGGGAGGAGGGGGCGGCGTGGCGAGAGCGGAGGAGGCGGGTTTGCGGAGGAGCCTGTCATTCACCGGCTCTGGGCAGTTGCTGCTTTCCCCGGCCCTCCCTCCCCCAGGCATCAAGCCCACCTCCCCTTCCCCTCCAACTTCCTCCTCCTCACCTGCCCCCCCTTCCCTCCCCCCGCCTCCTGTGCAGGCACCAGGCGTGACCACCCTCTCACTCACTCTTCTGCCCTCCCCGGTTATTGGAGGCCTTCTCTTAACCCCGTCTTCCTCCAACACATCCACCTCCCTCTGCTCCCCACCACCTCCTGCTGCCGCTGTCTCCCCACCCTCTCCCCCCTCCTCCCCCTCCCCCCCGCCGCCTCCCCCATCCCTTCCCCCTGCCTTTGATCCTGACTCGTTCCTCAACTCCCCCAAACAAGGCCAGACGTACGGCGGCCCTGTTCCTCCTCCTTCCTCCTCGTCCACCCCCATCTCTTTCATGTGCACCACCTCCTCCCCCTTCTCTCCCCCCTCCCTCGCTCTCTCCCTGTCCCCCACCTCCACCCCTCCATCCTCTGTTTCCCCTCCTTCCTCACTGTCCTCCCTCTCATCTTCCTGTGAAGTGGACAGGAGAGACTCAGTCCTCCCTCTTTCTGCCTCTCCTTCCTCCTCCTCCTCTTCTCCCCAAGTTCAGTCTACAATGCCCCCCTCCCTATCACTGTCTCCCACGTCCACTGTGGCCCCGCCCCTGCTGCCGCTCTGCTTGGAGCTCGGAGCTCTGGGGGAGTCGGAGGCAGTGAGGGAGGATGCAGAAGAAGAGGTGAAGGACAGGAGAGGGGAAGATGATGATGATGAAGGAAGTGCTCCTCCCTCTAAACTCGCTCTCCTGCAGGTGAGGATGTGCTCGATCTATTTCTTTTTAAAAACCTTCAGTGGGGGACTGTTTCCTGTAGCAGAAGCTTGTGACCCTCCTCCTACATCAACACCCTTTTTATTTCTCTGCCTTCCAGACAAACCATGCCTCCTCCAGCTTGGCACCACGGCAACAGACCATTAGCAGTTCTGCCTCCCTGCTCCTGGTGTGTCAGAGTGCAGCGACCCAGGCCTGCCAGCCGGCCAGTCAGACTTACCGACAGGCTGACGAGCATCAGCATCCGTTAAACCCCGGGCAACACTCCAGTCACCTGTGTATACCTGAGGCCCTAACCCCAGCTCAGACATCCCGTCAGCCCTTGTTGCTGCAGCAGCAGTCTTCAATATTTGCCAATAGTGACGCTAACATGGACTCCACACCTGCTGCTGTTGCCATGGATACTGCTATCCAGGTGAAAGAGGAGAGCAGGCGGGGCTCCGACTCTGAGGACACCTGCATGAACACTCAGCTGGAGGAGGAGGCGGAGCCCTGCGAGCGGGGAGGGGAGGAGCTTGACATCTCCTTTGACAGTCAGTTTCCTGACCTCATCTCTGACCTCATGACAGAGGAGGCCAATCCTGTCGCGGCTCATTGCGCTGCCGTCTCCGCCGTGCCAAGCCCTGCCGTGTTTCCGGCAGGAGTCCGCTACGTCGTTCCTCCCCAGCCCTCCCCTTCCTCCTCCTTTCTCCCTTTTCCTCACCCGCTGCCCGCCTCCTCCACACGCCTCGCTTCCATCACAGACTTCTCCCCGGAGTGGTCGTACCCCGAGGTAATCAGTCGCCAATAAATCAGCTTCACAGTCGAGCAATCAGTCAATAGAAAATCAGTCAGAAAGTTTACAGTGAAGGAGTCCAGTGATCGGGACATTGATCAGACGAGTCAGTGATTGATGCTCTGAGCTTCTTTCACAGGCAGGGTGGAGTTCAGCTGCTCGTCCACAAGAGGGCAGCAGAGTCCAGCAGCTGATTCAGACCAGTCTCTACCTTCACTGTCGTCATTGTCATTATTTATCGTCAGTGAGGTTTTATTGCTTTAACTGAGTAAAAGTTAGAAGATTGAACCTGATGTCCATAAAACGACATGATGCATCGATGCAGCCGACTGGGATTGGCCTGTTCACTATGGTCAGACCCTCCTGCTGCTTCTTGTGGTGTTGGAAATTTGTACAGGCCACGTCGTACATTTATCACAGAAGTACAAATCACACATCATAAGCCGCCCCCAGAGAGAGAGCTCGTGGCACGATGATTTCTTTGTGTTCTTACTCGTCTCGCAATTGAAAAATGTTTTTTGTTTCATTCTTTCTAACTGAGGGAAAGCTGGCACAACATGACCAATTTAAGACGACACAGCTACAAGATGCAGTGACCCAGAGTCTCCATTTCAAATTGGGTAGAAAGGGAGGACTTCAAACTATAGCTTTTAAATTGTGTCGATAGGCCAAACCAGTTATGATTAAAAAATGGCGACGGAAAGCGGGCGAGTGGAAGAAAGAGAGAGAGTGAGTTTTCATATTCGAGACATTAGTGACGCTTAGTGTTTGCAGGCTGTAGTTAGTGTGTTGTGTTTTGTGTGTCAGTTATGCTGCTGAATGTCACATTTGCTCCACAAAAGCCACCAAAGGCAGATTCCAGTGGAAACGCTTCATCT